AATTAAATGTAATTATGAGCATAGGTTAGTACTGTCTACATATTATGCTGCTCAGTAAGATATTTCGTGGTGAGATTTTCTTTTTTTTTATAGGAGAGAGGGCAAACGAGCATGCGGCTCGCCTGATGGTAAGTGACTACCGCCGCCCATGAACAACTGCAACACCAGAGAGGGAATTGCAGATGCGTTTCCGGCCTTTTAAAAAGGAGTACGCTCTTTTCTTGAAGGTCCCTAAGTCGTATCGGTACGGAAAAATTGCTGATGGTAATCGATTCCACAGGAAAGTCGTGCGAGGAAGAAAACATCTTCTAAATCGCACAGTGGTGGACCGCCAATCATCCAGATGGTGTGGATGGTATCGGGAGTTCTGCCGCGATGTGCGTTCGTGATATTTGGCGTCTGGGATTAATCCGAACAATTCCTCAGAGCACTCCCCTAGGTAGATGCGAAAGAAAATGCAAAGGGATGCAACATCTCTTCGCAGTGCCAATGAATCGAGCCGATCGGAAAGGGCTCGGTCGTCGACAATTCGAGCCGCTCTGCGTTGGATGCGGTCAAGTGGAAGGAGCTGGCACTGGGGAGCCCCTGCCCAGAGATGGGAACAGTATTCCATGTGAGGCCGAACTTGCGCCTTGTAAAGTAGCAGGCGGTGTGCCGGTATGAAATACTGTCCCGCTCTGCTGAGCACGCCAAGCTTTTTAGAGGCCAATTTCGCCTTCTCTTCCAAGTGACCACGAAACTGCACGTCACTCGATATGTCAACTCCAAGGATTCCGATACTGGTTGAGGCAAGAAGGGGAGTGCCTTGAAACTGAGGAGAAACGACAAAGGGGTTCTTTTTAGTGGTAAACACGCAAACTTGTGTCTACTGAGGATTAAACTGGACTAGATTTAGTCACACCAACCCGAGACTTTGTTCAGCAAAGACTCGACTTCAGACACACATTTGTTCCGGTACTCGGCTACGTTTTTCCGAGAAATATTGGCATGGCCGGTGTATAGAGCATCACCAGTGCTGTCATCCGCATAGCAATGAATGTTACCAGTTAGCAACATATCATTGATATGCAGAAGAAACAGCGTTGGTGATAGCACACAGCCTTGTGGAACACCAGCTTTAATAGGCTTGTAGTCGAAGCATGCACCGTCTACAACGACCTTGATGCTCCGATCTGCAAGGAAGCTGGTAATCCAATCGCACAATTTCTCGGGAAGCCCATAGGAAGGGTGCTTCGAAAGAAGCGCTTTGTGCCAAACCTGATCGAAGGCCTTTGCAATGTCCAAACTAACGGCCAACACCTCCCCCTTGGATTCTACTGCCTCCGTCCATCTATGGGTCAGGTAGACAATCAAAAATTTAATAATCACCTCATTTTAAACAAAATGCAGCTCAGTTTTAATGAAAGATTAGCTAAATCTTTATATATATACAGATCAAAATGCTGTTTGTTAGTCTCGCTAAAACTCAAAAACGGCTCAAACAATTTTGATGAAATTTTTTGTGTTTGAATGGGTCTCTAGATGGTTTAGATTCACATTTGGACCCGGTAAGTGGCACTGTTTCCCGTACGAAGCCAGGGCGGATCTTTAGTAATAAATATAGTGTTATTCAAATACAAATTAGACCTCTCAAACATGCTGCTTGTATTAAAGAAATAATAAATAAAATTAGTGTTTATGAGTCACTGTTGATTTTGAATTCAGAATCACTTGTTTTAATACTAGGCTATAATAATAAGAACTGAAAACCAAATTGTATTATAAATCATACAATTTTTATTATACTAATCTTCACGCACAATCCCTGACGGGGTAGCCAGAGAGAACAGATCGCCAAGTTTCACGATCCTTACATACCTCTTTCGCTTCTTTCAGATTCATTATCTTCTTCATACATGCACGTCTAGGTATCCGAGTACTCTTGACCCTACCCTCTTCGAGCAATTTGCTCACATGGTCTTCGAAAGTTAGTCTCGGTCTACCTCGACACCTTTTAATATTAACTTTCGCGCTATATATTTTCTTCACCATTCGGTCTTTACTCATTCGCTCAACGTGCCCAAACCACCGAAGCACGCCCTTATCAATTTTTGTGATAAGGTCATGTTTCAAACCTGCCATATTGCGAATCTCTTCGTTTCGCTTTCGGTCGGCCATGGTAACGCCGCACATTTTACGAAGAGATCGCATCTCCACTGCATTCAACTTGCTTTTATGCTTCTTCTGGCATACCCAGGTTTCGCTGCCATATAACAAAGTCGATACCAACACTGCGTTATGTATTGCAAGGCGTGCACTCTTCACTACGCCTTGCCTTTTGACTAACGCAGTCAGGGCACCATTGACTTTGTTCCCGGCAGCGACACGCCTGTCCACATCTAAATCACATCTTCCATCCCGGCTAAAAGCACTCCCCAAGTATACAATTTCATTTACTTGTTCTAGACATTCCTGATTTACCCATATTTCACACTTCGTTCTCTCTTCGTCCCTTTCAAATACCAGAACCTTAGTTTTATTAGCGTTCAAACGGAGACCTTTAATTTCACATTCCTCTTTCATACACGTGACTAATGCCTGCAGTTCTGCCTCTGATGGTGCAATAAGCACTGCATCATCAGCATACAGCAGACAATTTACTTTTATGTCACCCAATTTCACACCCATACAGCTATCTTTCAGCTTTTGTAAACAGCTGTCGAGATACAGTATGAACAGCCAGGAAGACATGACACAACCCTGTTTTACGCCCGTTTGGATGCTAAACATGGGTGACAGGTCATGCTTTACCCGCACACAGGCTTTACAGTCACAGTAAAGAGACTGCACAGCCCTTAGCAATCGACCATCCACACCATACCCCGGCAACAGTTCCCACATTTTCTTCCTTACAACCTTATCAAATGCTTTCTCAAGATCCACAAAAGCACAGAAAATCTTCTGGTTAGCAGCCAGAAGCTTTTCCGTGATCATGCGGAGAGAAAACATTTGATCCGTACATCCTCTTCCAGGTCTAAATCCGCATTGTGCCTCCCATAGAAATCTTTCCGATTTCTCTTGCAACGTATGTGTCAAAACCTTCGAGTAAACTTTACTTGCTAAACTGGTCAAGCTGATCACCCGATAGCACCCGCAGTCAAAATGTGAACCTTTACCTTTATATAAAGGCACAATGACTGCGGATTGCCAATCATCCGGGACATCCCCGTCCGCCAGCACAAATTGCACAGCAGATGAAAGCTGTCCCAGACGCGAGGCCCACCATACTTGACCATTTCAGCAGTAACTCTGTCTAGTCCCGCAGCCTTACCACATTTCAAACTTGGAATCGCATGTTCAATCTCTTTCATACTGATGACCTCAGTGTCATCGAGGTCCGGGTCTGGCGTACCAGTTACGGCGTCATCCCCGGATCCCCCAATTTTTATTATAGTTTTTTATTATATATACCAAATTGCACAATTTCAAATTAATGGTAATTGAATTAAAAAACTTACCCGTAATTATCAAAAATTTGCATGCCTTTCTTAATGGGACGTAAAGCAAACAACATCATCTTTCCTGAACCAAGCTTTCCAAATCTGACAACATTTGGTGCACATGAATGGTTTATTAAGCTGTGAAAACCATAAGGCGCACTGGCCAAGCTTAACTCTTCAACAAAATTCCCATCTGCAGACTGAATATTTGAACTGATCCCATGCATGTTAGTTGGACTGGTCATCAAATGAAGAAGTAATGTTGCTGCAACACAATTTCTGACACTCTCGGACAGCAAAGGATCTTTTACTTGAAGAAAATTTGTATGCTCTGTCAAAAACTTCAAAAATACTACTGCAGTTACAGCTTTCTGGAAAATATCTGACACAGACCTTTTCTTTAGATTACATTCTAAAGTGTGAATGGAAGCATAATGCTTGGAATCAAAAATCCATTCACCATTAGCTTTAATATGACCACGGTATTCATTATTCATATTAGCTTCAGCTTCCTCTATTGTTTTTAAAAAACTTTGCCAATCATTATGATCATAGCGAGCTTTTATTACAGTTCTCAAAGCAAGTAATTCCAGTTTTGTAAAATCCATGTCAAATAAACTTGCCATTAAAGGACATTCAATATTATGATAGTCCTTAAAAGCATTTATCCTACACTCATCACTACAATAAAAAGCATAACAACAATGCTTGCATGGTAATAAATTTAAATTTCTAGACAGGCAATAGCTGCAACTAAAAAGATACTGTGTTTTTAACACCAGAGTAAAATAAGGATCTTCTTCAACTAGTATTTCCCCAACTTTAATATCCTCTCTAGCGAAAACTTGGCGCCCCATTTCCTCACTAAACTCAACTCCTAATTTAGTACTTGCACATAAATACCGGGGATCTCTGTTACTTTGCATAGTCAATATATTTTCTAAATGAGGTTGTTTTTCTTTATCATCAATTTCTTTAAGTAAAGCCTTTTGACATAACATTTGCCTTTTATTGAGTTTATCATGTAATTCCTGAGGATATTTCATCAAAAAAACTTCACTTATATCAGCTAAGCATTCTTTAAATTTCTTCATTGAAAAAAATACAGCAGATCTATTTGATAATGCTAAGCAGTAGTTATTTGAATTACAAGAGGCATATAACAAAGATAAATTGTAATATTGCCATGCTTTAAAATCTTCAGATGCCTGGAAACATTTGTTGCCCTGGTTACGGTAATATGTAGACACACTGTCTGACTTTTCCACTTTCTTAAGAACTGGGAAAACATCTAATTCACTAAGTAATTTGTAAACATATAATACTCTTTCATTATTACTTGTTAAGGATAACAAAACATTTGATATATCCTTTATTTTACCCTGAGCAGTCAATTTTGCAATAACAGATTCATACAAGTGATCAATAATCATTTTGAAGGCTTATATATACTAGCGAGATATAAAAGTGAAAATGTCTCACTTCGCAACACCATTTATTGTATTAAATCTGGGATGCGAGATGATATATGTTATAGATCAGCGTTTGAAAAGTCAAAATATTCCAGTGGATAAATCTGAAAGAGGTAAGTTGTTTCATTCAAATAAATATACAATAAATAATGAGTCAAGGCAATTTATTAAATTTAATAAATGTATTTGCATTTCAGTGCTAACCGATATTGTTACGGTGCTACTTCATCCTAAGCTTCAGCAGGAATTATTTATACCGCAACCAGTAGCCACTCACGCAGTAATAAAACAACTTTTGCAAGATATATCAGTCTCATCAATAATGAAACTTGACGACTATTCTATGAATAGATTGTGGGATTTAATGACTATGATCTTCAAATGGCAATTAACAATAGCGAATAATCAAAATATTTTTGACATCACTTGCAGACATTTGAAATGTGTAGCCACACTTATGCCAACGTATTTCCCTAAACGATTTATAGAATTAGTTTTGAAAAATATCGAGTTACTACGTGAAAAAATTTCGGATGATGATTATAAATGTCTTTACCATACAATGATATTGTGGTTTTCGGAGTATCACACAAAAATTTCCATTTTACTTAGATTAGGTCTGCAAAATAAAGATGGCACTTTTAATTCTTCAGCGACAATGAACGCAAAGATTTCACAAAACTTGGGTGAAAATATTTACAAATACGATAATAAAATAAACCCAATTGAAGATTACGACAATAAACCAGCGGACACTAATGAAATAAATTGTCTTTTATTACATATTGAAAAAGGGTACAACAAAAAAACGGATCTTCATATACAGTTACCTAAAGAAGTTGAAAGATATTATTCAAAAAAACCTGTTAAAAGTAACAAAGACACTATTATTCAACAAATTGCAACTAACGTTAAAGGTAATAACGTTAAAAGTAATGATCTTTCTTTTATTGCTGATATGCCAAAATCTCCACAAGAAGATCTTTTAAAAATGCTAGATGAGATATAAATAAGGCAAATAATATATTTAAATATCAGCCATTCTTTAAAATAATTAGGTAGCAATAGTATAATGAGTATGGCTTGTGCACGCATATTGCTTTTATTTTACAGTAAATATACGGTTCCAAATAAGTAGGTACTTATAGGTTTCAATATTTTCTATACACATAAATAAAATTGGAGTATCTATCTGTAATATTGAAATAACTGCCTTTTATTGAGTTGAAGGGTATATTTTTGCATGTCTTTAAGACATAAATAACCTTTTATAAAATGTTTGTCTGTTTGTTCAATTAGCCCGACAAGTAGGTAAAAATTTGACATTCAAATCATAGAATTATTACAATTCTATGATTCAAATATATCTATCACTAGCGATCCACCCCGACTTCGCTCAGAAGAGGATCTAGACAGCAGCGCCACCTATCGGGTCCAATTGTGAATCTAAATCATATTTAAAAAAAAGCGGCCAAGTGCGAGTCAGACTCGCCCATAAAGGATTCCGTAGCAGCAAGTAACATAATTTACGATTTATGTCGTATTAAAAAACTACTAACTAGATCTCGTCCAAACCAATTTTCGGCGGAAGTTTACATGGTAATGTACATCATATATTTTTTTTTAGTTTTATCATTCTCTTATTTTAGAAGTTACACATTTTACCACTTTGGAAGTTTCTCTCGCGCAAACTATTCAGTTTAGAAAAAAAATTATATTAGAAACTTCAATATCATTTCTGAAGACCTATCCATAGATACCCCACACGTATGGGTTTGATGAAATAAATTTTTTTGAGTTTCAGTTCTTAGGATGGGGAACCCCCAAAATGTATTGTTTTTTTTTTATTTTTGTGTGAAAATCTTAATGCGGTTTACAGAATACATCTACTTAACAAGTTTTAACAGCATAGTTCTTATAGTTTCGGAAAAAAGTGGCTGTGACATACGGATGGTCAGACAGACAGACAGACAGACATGACGAATCCATAAAGGTTCCGTTTTTCGCCATTTGGCTACGGAAAAACACTCAAATTCACACAAAAAAATTTCAATAAAATCGTTCGAACCGTTTTCGAGTTTTAACGAGACTAATGGACAGCAATTGATTTTATATTATATCTATTACTAGTAATAGATATAATATAAAACAGCTAGGTGCCCCGCGGTTTCACCCGCGTATATCACGTGTCTGAGCCACGCGACATGACATGGACACCTACGAGTAGTTCAAGCATATTAGATAGCAATGTATAGAAAAATTGGTAAAATTAATGGAGTACTTTTACCTAGCGAAATTAAATTTTAATCACTTTCCCTTTCCTTCCCGGGTGAGCGTCACGCCCCCCTCCCCCCTATTATTTATCAAGAATCATTTCGCAGCTACACATTTTTCATGTATCGTGTACTGTTTTCTTTAAAACTGGAAAAAAACTACGATTCGGGAATGTTCGTTTCTTTCGGTTCTCGTCGGATAAAATTGTCTTGATGATGAAGTAACTTTCGTTCGTAAGGATTAATATGCCATGCCTAATAATAACGCTCATAAATAACTTTATAATTTTCAATAATTTTTTGTCGCAATACCTTATTGTGGCTTATGTATAAGAAATAAGCATATGGTATCGCGGAATTATTTTTAGATGAAGTAAAGATTTATATTTTTGTAGAACATTGTATTACGTCAGCGCTTGCGGATAAATCATTTCAAGTGCACTTTTTCTGATATTTAAGGCTAGCTGGGAGGTATATTCTAGTATCAGATAGCCTATACTATTCCTCATGAACCTGGCTATAATATATAAAAAGAATTTTTCAAAACAGAGTGGTAGTTCCAGAGATTAGCCTGTTTAAACAAACAAAAAAAAAACAAAAGAGAACTCTTCCGCTTTATTATATTATAATATCAATATAGAATAGATTAAAGCTTATATGGCATAAATCACACGAGTTTTTGTATTACGTCAATACATTTTAGTAATACTTCGCGTAGTGTATATTTTCTTTGGTAATACCGGAGCTATTACTAAGTACGAGAAGTTCAAAGCAGTTTTTTAAATTCCCGTTATTTCGCGCGCCGAAGAAGACCGAAGAAGGGCGTTACAGCCTATGAAAAGTCCACTGCTGAACATAACCCTTCGCCACAAAGTATGGTGCTTAGCCAACTGCATCCTCTACTATTTCCATCGACTACCTGCTGAAGCGTGTTTTAATATCAGGCGGTTATCCCGTCTAGTAGAGTGTCGTCCTACATTAAACTTGGCTAGCCCACGAATTTATTTACAGATTTTTATATTTTACTAGCTTTCCATGTCACCCTTTCACCCATATTAAATCAAATTTTCCTGATAGTAAGTGTTGACCATCGCCCGTGAACAACGGCAACTCCAGGAGAATTGCAGGTGCGTTGCCGGCCTTTTAGAAAGGAGGAAGCTCTTTTCTTCTAGTGGGTATTCTTACCTGCCACTACACGGAACCTGGGTATTCACCCACTACCCCATATCTTCCCGTGGGTGTTGTAAAAGGCGACAGAGGGAAACTGAGGCAGAAGATGGACAGCAACATCTTTCTGATATTAACAGCAAAAAGCAATAAAAAACTGCGGTTGCCAACCTGTTCGCCAAGCGTGGCAACTATGGCAATATACCCCCCATCAGCAATGACGCTAATAAACGGCCCTCAGTCCCCGGCAGACCCGCTATTCCTGGCTACGGTGGCTACCATGGTAACGGCGGGGCGGGAGGTGCTAAGAAGGTAGGGGTTCGGTTGCCACCCTTAGGACTGACGAGAAGATCCTGGAGCTGGAAGAAGAAATAGACAAGTTGCGCTGGGGATTATAGGATAATCCGAGGTCCGAAGAGAAAGGGAGGACACGGTAATCCTCGAATCCGCCAACTTGTTCTATCGCGGGAGTTTGACCACATCTATCCCGAGGAGGTGTCGGATTTATCGTCCACAAGTCTCTCGTTAACAACGTTGTAAAGATTGGGAGTGTGTCGACGAGGGTTACGTACCTTATACTGAGAATCACCAAACGGTATAATATGCTGAAGGTCATTCAGGTATACGCACCAACCTCGCCACATACCGATGAGGAGATGGAGGAAATGTATGAGAATATCTTTAGAACTATGCATTCCTCCAAAACCCACTATAAGGTGTTAATGGGAGACTTGAACGCAAAACTAGGCACAAGAGATAACGGTGAGCTGAAAGTAAGGAAATTCGGAATAGGGCACCGGAACCCAAGGGGCCAGCAGCTGGCCGACTTCATGGAGAAAGGGGGACTCTTTCTTCCAGAAGCGGCCCCACAGGAAGTGAACCTGACCGAGCCCCGACGGTTCGACAAAAAATTAAATTGACTATTATGACGACCAGACGGCAACTTTTCAGTGATGTCTCAGTGATCGCAAGGGTGAAAAGTGGTAGCGATCACCGAATGGTTGGTGAAGTGGCACACTGAACCCTAAACATTAAGTTGGAGAGGTGTCGTCTAATGAAGTCAACGCCCCTTCCCCCTCGTGCTCTAATCCAAAGTCCCGAAACCTTTCAACTCGAGTTACAAAACCGTTTTCAGTGCCTAAAAGATTGCAATGCAGGGGACGATATAAATGACAAGCTCGTGGAAACTGTCCTTGCGGTCGGAGCTAAGATCTGCAAGACCCGCCGCAGAAGAACACAAAAACTCTTCGATCACACTCTTAATCTCATAGCTGTTAGACGGGAAATGAAGCGGCAGTCTTCAGTAGATTTGACAGCATACAGCCATCTGAACAGACAGATCTCCAAATGCATGCGCCAGGACTTACGCAACTTTAAAACTGCTCATATTGAGGAAGCGATCGAGCGCAACCAGGGCTCCAGTCTTTCCACTGCATTTCTGCTCCATGCCTCCGGAGTAGTACCACCATGAAAAACGGAATTGAAGAGCTTCTAAAAGACCTGAATTACAGGTTTTCCACCCGCTTTCAGAAGTTCCGCTGTTATTTCATCTTCGCCGGGGCATTGCCGTTTTAAGGTGCTGGAGAGCAATTCCACATACTGACATCCGCGATATCATCGGAAGTGTTGGATGAGACTTGCTCTCAGATCGTTAGTTACACTTGCGTGTGGCTCCAACGATGATATGTACATGTGCCCATAGTACTACTAATATAATCCGTATTATTGTGTAAACATGAAAAATATTCGGCAACATGATTAGTGAGCAGTAGTTACAAATATTTGCGCTTTGCTATGGATTCTTTAACTTCCTAACGAGACCCTATTTAAATATGGCAACACTACTTATCTCTGTCGAAATACTTACGATATTTTAGCATATCTCTTGTTCAAAGTATAATGTGGTAAATATTTACAACACCCGTGGAGCAAGATATAAAAAATTAAACTGCTTAATCACTTGGCGATAGCAATAACCATCTATAGGGCAACACAGGCCACCGGCGGACCGAAGGGGAGTAGCCATGTTGTATATTCTAATTCTAACCATAGCGTTCTCCTCTGATGAACTCGACAGAATCGATCGGATCGACAGAACTTGTCGGTAAACAATTCCGAAACAACACGACCGTAATTATTGTAATTTTTAAGTTTAAAAAGAAGTAAATAGCAATAATGTGTGTTTAGTCTAGTGAGCAGCGCGGTGCAACTAGGTTTATTGTACGCATGATACCCACGTGAACTTATAATTTGACAGAGGGGAACGCCTGCATATGTCTACTCCCCTCCGATCCGCTGGTGGTCCGTGTTGCTCTATAAAACCCTCAATCATGTTTATATTTGTAATATCTATATGTAAATAAAATAATGTTTTCTGATTGAGTTATAAAAATACTTTATTCAGGTATTTTACAATGTCTGCAAAAATGTCACAATTAAACAATATTGAAAGCAACTTAATTTCACTACATTCACGTTACATAGTTAGACTCAAATCGTGTTCTGAAAATCAAGAAACATTTAACTGTTTTTTTTAAAGTATTTTTGTTGATTAAACATGCGTTTAAAA